AATTATAGTCAAATAAAAGTGGAGGCATGATGGTAATATAATAAATATCTGAGTTAAGATATTAGAATTAATATGAATTATATTTGATGACGGTGGAAGAGATGCACAAAAGCAAACTATAAATGTGCACAGCTCAGCTTTATTGTTTAAGAACATTTATTGCTCACATTTCAACTCTTGCACCCATCATCCATTCACTAACCTAAGCAATCCAAAACTGGCTGAACATCCACTCTAATTGTTGAAGAGCGGGCAGGTTGAATTGTTTATCTGGATAGAAAGACTCTGCTGGGATCTTTTGTTTGGATCCTTTATAATCAGCCAATTGCTTGGTCAAATTGCCTTGTACAACAGTGATTTACAAGCTACCACTTTTGTTTATTTTTCCAGTCATTACAGTCATTTGTCCAAAGGCTTTGTGCACCCTCTTTACTCTTGGTATGCCAGTTATCTAGTCAGAATGTGAAGATGCTTCTTTCATTGTCAGAAAATGGCATTCTGAGCTCTCTTTTCCGAGAGTTATCTCTGACTCATTTATAGAAAGAAAAAAATTTCTTCTTTTGGATTCCTTCCTTTGCTATGTGTGAGTGAATTAAGTTATGCTTAAATGAATTATTTTAATGAAAAGTATCTATTTCTACAAAGGTATTCACCAAATAATCAATATTCTGCCTAATTACAGTATCACCAAATCACTCTTATTTATTCTTTCATCTCATTTCTTCCATCATCCATCAGTCCAGATTACCTGTATCGTGCAATGATCATGACAGAGCCCCAATAATAATTTCTGACACATATTAAGAACATATATTAATAATATAGATATAGCACAGTGTATTTTGTCCAGATATGTTCTAGGGACTAGGAACCAGATTTCTGTAGTACAGTAGAAATAACATATAAAAATGTTTTTTATAAAAAAGTAAGACAATCCAATTTAAATTTAAAACTAGAAACAATAAATCAACCACAACTCAAAAGACTTTAATCTGATCAAATCTGTAATTCTTATTATAATTGATACAAATTGAGTAAATCTAAATTCGGAACTATTCTTATATTTATATATGATAGACAATAACATTTGCTGATATGATTAAATGTAGATTTCATATTTGCAATACGGAAAATAACTATGGAAAGAGTAAGTACTTTATAGAGTTATTTGCTCTATAAAAAAATGTAAAAAGTCAAATGCTCAGAATGTTTAATAGAATATCATTTCCTGAACAATACTTTTTTCTCTTCTCTTAATACCTGTTCCTGATGAAGCAGATATTCCCCCCCCCGCCACTTACTTCTCCTGCTGATGTCAAGATAATCTTCAAAATTCAGCATAATTTGGCATCATGAATGCCTGCTGCTGAATGAATGATTTTTCTTATTTCCCACTCAACTATTCAATATAGAAAAATGTATACATTTTTATTATAATGTAATTTAATAAAAAAAATTAAAATCAAATATACAATGGGAAATAGCTCACTTAATGAAAATTGCGCTGTATTTATATAGCAATATCAGTGGTGGGTTTCAATTTTTTTTAGAACCTGTGGGTTTGGCCTACTTTGTGGGAGTGGCTTGCCAGCCATGTGACTGAGTGGGAGTGG